TCAGGTATCTTCGTTATTGAAGTCAATATGTCTGATATCACCTCTTGGGTGATGGATACTGGATGTGGTTCTCACATCTGTACTTCTATGCAGGATCTGCATGAACGTAGACAATTGACGGAGGGAGAGATACAACTAAAAGTCGGCAATGGCGCACTCGTAAATGCATTAGCCGTCGGAACCTATAGTTTATCTCTACCTAGTGGTCTTGTATTGCAGTTAAATAATTGTCTGTTTGTACCCAGTATGAGCAGAAACATCATTTCTGTATCCTGCCTTGACAAAGCAGGATTTTCGTTCGTTGTAAAAGACAAAACTCTTTCTGTCTTTAGAAATGAAATATTTTATGCAACTGCAAAAATGACCAACGGTCTATATGTCCTCGACATGGATACCGCAGTATATAACGTAGATGTTAAGAGAAACAAACCTAACAGTTTGAATCTCGCGTACCTTTGACATTGTCGTTTGGGCCACATTAACGAGAAACGCATATCTAAGTTACATCGTTCTGGTGTACTTGATTCATTTGACATCCAGTCATATGATGTATGTAAATCTTGTTTGCTTGGTAAAATGACAAAGACTCCATTCACCGGTCACGGTAAAAGGGCGAGTGACTTATTGGGCCTCATACACTCCAATGTGTGTGGTCCAAATAGCACTGTAGCTAGAGGTGGTTATTCTTACTTCGTTACATTTACTAACGACCTTAGTAGATATGGATATGTGTATCTCATGAAACACAAATCGGAATGCTTTGACAAATTCAAAGAATTCAAGAACGAAGTAGAAAAACAGTTAGGCAAAAGTATTAAGACCCTCCGCTCGGATCGAGGAGGTGAATACTTAAGCCTGGAGTTCGATGACTATCTGAAAGAGAGTGGGATCTTATCCCAACTCACTCCTCCAGGGACACCTCAGTTAAATGGAGTGTCTAAGAGGAGAAAGAGGAGAAATCGGACTTTGCTAGTGTAACACCCCGGCCCCCACCCTGGCTGTAAGTGTTCGCTCATAGGATTGTAGACTGTCCCCACAAACCAACACAAGTCTTTCCCGCACATTTGTCCTCACTCGTGCGCGCCCAAGGAAAACTTCCCAGGGGTCACCCATCCTAGAATTGCTCCAGGTCAAGCACGCTTAACCTTGGAGTTTCTAGGTGATGAGCTCTCGAAAAGAAGATGCACCTTGTTGGTATGAGTAGTACTATCAATCCTTTTGAGCTCTTCCCATTCCCATCTTGATACGGGGTATTACAGCTGGACATGGTTCGGAGAATGATTAGTCTGACAACATTGCCAGAATCATTTTGGGGATATGCATTGAAAACAGCAGCGCACACACTCAACAGAGTTCCATCTAAAGCTGTCGAGAGCACACCATACGAATTATGGTGTGGGAGAAAACCGAGTTTCTCGTACTTTAAGATTTGGGGCTGTGAAGCTTATGTAAAACGTCTCATGACGTCTAGTAAGTTGGAGCCTAAATCTGATAAAGTAATTTTTGTGGGATACCCCAAGAAAACTAGAGGGTATGAGTTCTATCATCCATCCGATAACAAAATCTTTGTTGCTCGGAATGGAACCTTCCTTGAGAAGGAGTTTCTTTCTGCTATCACTAGTGGGAGAAAGGTAGACCTCGAAGAAATTCGAGAACCACAAGAAGAAGCCCCGATAGTGTTGGAACCTGAGCAAAGAGATCAAGCAATTGAACCTCAAATTGCTCAAGATATACCACGTAGGTTAGACCGGATACGTAATCCTCCGGTCAGATATGGATTTCTCATGTCTGATGAAGGTGACGTCTTGTTGGTAGATCAAGGCGAACCAGAGACCTACCTCGAGGCAATTACATGCCCCGAATCCGATCTATGGCTCGAAGCCATGAAATCTTAAATGAGGTCTATGTACACAAACCAAGTCTGGACCTTGGTTGATGTGCCCGAAGGGGTAAAACCCATTGGATGCAAGTGGGTCTTCAAAAAGAAGACAGACGTAGACGGGAAGGTTCATACCTTCAAAGCTAGATTGGTAGCAAAAGGTTATAGACAAATCCACGGAATTGACTATGATGAAACCTTTTCTCCAGTTGTTATGCTGAAATCCATTCGGATAATGCTTGCAATTGCAGCCTATTACGATTACGAAATTTGGCAGATGGACGTCAAGACGGCTTTCCTTAACGGGAACCTCAAAGAGGATGTTTTTATGACACAGCCTGACGGTTTTCAAATTGCTGGTCAGTCTGCCAAAGTTTGTAAGCTGCAACGTTCAATCTACGGATTGAAACAAGCATCTCGGAGTTGGTACATACGTT